TAATTTATATATTGTTATTTTAATTTGATTTAACTTAAATTTACTTTTGGGTGGGCTTGTTGGCGGCGGAGGAATATGGGGGTGGCACGGACGGGGTGGATTTCAGTATTTGAGGTTATGATTATCACCGTAGTGACAAAAAGAGTCATATTCCATTTCATAAATGCTTTGTCGAGTGTGTATTGGGTGAATAACGGTGGATGGGCCAGATGAGCGCGTAAAAGACGATTTTGAAGGTCAATATGGAAGAGAACAAAAATGGAAGTGGGAAATAGATAAAGAAGTGACGTTAGAAATGGATGTTCGTTTCTATCTTTAGACTCTGTTTTGCTTAGGGGCTCTAGATTTATGAGTACATTCCATAGGACGCAGAAGGTGTGCTTTTGTTTTTAGTTCTCTTGTTTAGTTAAAGACCAGTAGTTGCAAGTGTGTGCTTTATGATCGCCGCGATAGAGATTCTATCGATATTCTAAAGCGGTGTATTTTTCAAACTTTTCAAGATTTAATTTGTTTCGTTTGGAAACCGAGGTGAGAAAACTGCACATAGTTTATTATTTTGTCATTCGTTCATTCACAGGTAAACCACATTGATGTCTGCTGATGTTTGCGTTGAAATTGCTATACTCGACAGATGACAGACAATGAGTGCTAATAAACTCAACAGACGTCATCCCAACAAGCTAATACAAGAAAGCACCCTCGTCTAGATTTTGAGGAAATAGAGGGTGATGGAATCAGTCGCCTAAATGTCACAGACCCAAACTTTACAGACAGGTCCATCAAACAGTAATTGTGTAGATACAGAATATCCCAAAGTAACCAACGTGTCATATCTGATTGGAACTGAGAAGGCCAAAAAGGATGTGACAACGTCTGAGATCCCGTGGAATTACAAAATCCATACATGGAAGATGTAGGACAGACAAAAGCTGGTTTTAAGTGTCGCACGGACATGATACTTATACTGAGCTAGAGACTATTCCTTGATGAAACGTTCTATAGATACCAGCTACGTCTGAAAAATTTGTCAGTTTCTGGAGTAAAAACCAAGACTTTGTTGTAAATTCTGTGTATTTGAATTTTCTTCTGTTATAATTGGATAAGCAGTCCGACAAAATATCACACGTGGTACTGTAGTGGCTTAACAGGTTTCCAATTTGACAAGTTTGAGGAGGCTCATGTTTTGTCACAGAGTCTGGTCGAATATTGTCTTGTTTAACAGCCCCCAGATCAGAAGAAAATGTAGTTGGGAGAATAGATTTTTAGGACAGAATGCAATATCGTATCAGACTTTGTTACTTCATAAACAATCTATCTATTCGGGAATCGAAGTCATGTCCTCTGCGTGCAGTTGCAAAGACCCTTACCGCTACATCAGAGTAGTTGGTCCCCTGGGTCTAATGACTTTGGGAATTTTTAACAGTAAACAGGGTATGAGAGGGTGAATTTGTGGTTCACCTTTGAAGCAACCTGATCTAATTGTAATTGGTTGCAAAACAGAAAAGTTGGCACATCGCAAGGAGAAAGAAACGATCACAAAACATGTCCATCTCTATATGTCTCTCTTTTTCTTTCTACCTGCCTCATTCCTCACCCCTTCTCCCCCCCCTCTCTCTCTCTCCCTCCCTCTCTCTCTCTCTCTCTCTCTCTCTGTCATTACTTCTTTCTGTTCCGACTCTGTCTTTACAATTTTACTAACAATAAATAAATCAAGACGAGGTTTTTTCATGTTGTCTGTAATTTCACGTCACCATCGACACAATTTAGAATTTAGATCATTTTAGGAGACGAGCTTCGACCCTGTTCGTTACGACCAACCCATGCAGAGAGGGACACAACATACTGGCAAAAATATCAAAATACTTGAATATATATTCTCTCCATTTGGGATTTTTAGCAGTAGACAGAGTATGGAAGGTGTGGGGGTTAGTTATTCACTTTTGTAGCAAAAAGATCTATGTGCAGGTCTGGATTTATGGATTTCCGTTTAGGAAAAGATGGCATACCGAGAGGAGAAATAAAAGACGATATTATATTTTAAAATGAAGTTAGCTCCGTCGGAACTGAGAAATTGGAGGTTGGGCAATAATACTTTACAATCACATTCTTTCACTTTCCAAAGGGGGTGTGAGAAAGAAAGAGAGAGAGAGAGAGAGAGAGAGAGAGAGAGAGAGAGAGAGAGAGAGAGAGAGAGAGAGAGAGAGAGAAAGAGACAGAGAGAGGGAGACAGAGAGAGGGAGACAGAGGGAGACAGAGACAGACTGGCAGACAGACAGAAAGACAGACAGACAGACAGACAGACAGAAAGACAGACAGACAGACACACACACAGACACACAGACAAAATGGTGGAAGGGAAGTAAATAAAATCACACAAACATACTCACACACACACACACACACACACACACACACACACACACACACACACACACACACACACACACACACACACACACACAAACAAATAAACACGCTCACACTCGCACACACATACACACACATACACACTCATAAACACACAAACTCTGAGAGAGAGAGGGATATATATATATAATGGCTGTTGTTTTGGACAGAAGTGACAACAATAAATACCCGCTAGCTACCAAACATGGAATCTTAAAAGGGGCATACAGCAGGAACTAATTTGAACTTTGCCCTGAAAAATTACTTCTGATGAGTGATGTTAACTGCACCACACATGTCAGTTTAAGAGAAGCGGTTGTATTTGGCTCGCAGTGTGGCGGTCAGGGTTACATTAAATGTAACTGTTCCGGGTAAAAGAAATGTCAAACAAACGCTTCAAAGCAAAGCTCGAATGAAATAGTCGATGCCACCAAAGTTTCAACTGCGAAAACAAATGAGCTCCTTTAAATAAACATTCTCTATTTAATTATCACTTTTTATTATTAAATTTGTTTTTTATTAAACATGATGAATAAATTACCGCATACATTTACTTTACATCTGTAATTCTGCCACTTTGTTTTTGTCCGATGGTAGTCTTACTTTACTTTGCTTTTATCCGCCGCTTATACCCTTTTGGGTGTCACAGGAAGAAAGAGACGTCTCTCTGTCGCCAGCCGGTGAGCTTGGGTCAGGAGGATGCCGTGGGTGTTTAATGTTTCCCTGACTCCATCTATCCAGGTCTTTCTCGGTCGCCCTTTAGCCTTGTTGCCATCGAATTTGTTGAGGTAGGCACGTTGTGCTGGATGGTGTGTTGGTAATCGTAGGATATGTCCGAACCTAATGATTCTTTGGTGTTGGATGTGATGCTTGACATCATTTGTGCCCACCATTTCTCGGATTACAGAGTTTCTAATTTTGTCTCGCCTGGTCTTGTTTACTGCTTTTCTAAGGCATCGCATTTCACATGTTGTAATTCTTTGCTCTAATTTCTTGTTCGTGGTCCATGTTTGGCATTGACAGGTGAGTGTTAGGATGGTTATGGTGTTGATCATTTTGAGTTTTGTTGTCTTGGGGATGTTAGGATGTTTCAGTAGTGGAGTAAGCTGGTAACTAACATTATTGGCCTTTTGTACTCGAGTTTCAATTTCTCTGTTCAGTCGCCCATCCTCTGTAAATATACTTCCGAGGTACTTAAATTCTTGGACTTGTCTGAGACTGTTGTTGTTGATGTGTATCCTGAGTGGTTCTGGCTTTCTGCTTACTTTTATCGTCTCTGTTTTCTTGATGTTGATCTTCATGTCGTAGTTGTTACATTCTTCGTTTAATCTGGTGGAGGGTGTTGGAGACTTCGTTCATCATTGTGTGTCAGGGTTTGGTCATCAGCGAAGAGTAATTCGTTTAGGGCGTCTGGTACTGTGTTGGCCTCTTTTGTAATTATATCCATATATATGATAAATAGTAGTGGTGATAGGACACAACCTTGTCTTTCTCCTGATGTTATCTCGAACCATTCTGTGAGTCCCTCTGACGTTCTTACTGTACTTATGCTGTTCTCGTAAATGGCACGGATGTTATCTAGAAGTTGGCCTCTTACAATGTAGTTTTCGAGTTCTTTCCACAGCTTGTTTCTGTTCACTCTGTCGAACGCTTTCTCCTGGTCGATAAATACTATATTTAGTTTCCTATTGTGTTCTATTACCCTTTTGCACATTTGTCGTAGGTGTTGCGTCGGTGCATCCTCTTCCCTTTCTAAATCCCATTTGGTCCTCACTCAGAAATGGTTTAACTTTGTGTCTTGTTCGCCATTCCAATATCTTTGCGAACATCTTGCCCACACGGCTTAGCAGTGAAATGCCTCTATACATTCCAAAGTCTCTCTTACTGCCTTTCTTCTTCCAGATTGGTACTATGATCGCTTTTTGCCAGTCACCGGGAACTTTTCTTTCTGTCCATGCTTTCTGGAAGATTTTTGTGAGCCAATTTATTCCAGTTTCACCACATGCGAGGATGATCTCCGTGGTGAGCTCATCTATTTCTGTGCTTCTGTTTTTTGGGCTGGTTTTAACTGCTTGTCTGACCTCTGATGGTAGGATTGTTGGTTCTTTTTCCTCTGGGTGACTGGGTTGGAATTCTTTGTTTGTTTGCTTTTGGGTGGTGTTAAAAAGTTCTGAGAAATATTCCCTCCATCTAGATTTGATGTTGGAGCTGTCAATAATGGGGTTTCCTGTTTTGTCATTAATTATAGCTGTTGGGTCGTACGGTTCTTCTCTGAGCCTCATTAATTTTACACTTCTGTAGAAGTCACGTAGTGATTTATGGCACAGTTCGCTTAGGTGTTCTCCATACTTTGTCCAAGATTCATTTTTTGATGCTCTAACAACTCTTTTGCAGTTCCTTCTTGTTAGTCTATATTGCGTGTAGTCGTTTTCGTCCTGGGATATCATCCATTTCTGAAAAAGTTTCTTCTTTTCTTTGATGGCCTCTTTAACGTTGTCATTCCACCATGGTGTTCCCTTAACGTATCTTCTCCCAACTCTCTTCTTTCCACATACTTTTATCAGTGTTTCTGTTAGTAAGCTTTTAAAGAGAGTTCATGTTTCTTCAACGTTCATAGAACTGGTGTCTCGGTTTTCTAGTCTCTTTGTGATCTCGTCCTCAACTTTCTGCACATTGCCCTCTTCATTGAGTTTTCGTAAATTAATTTTCTCTGAATATATCTTCTGTTTTCGCATGGGTCTTTTTTTCTCTTTACTCATCATCATCACTGGTCGATGATCTGTATCAAATGTGATGTTTGGGATTGATCTTGCATCAGTTGTTTTTGTTCTATGGGCGATTCGTCTTAATATGAAGTCGATCTGTGAGGAAATTTCTAGGTTGTTCCTTCTGTACCACGAGTGAGGTTGACTTGGCCTGTGCTGGTAAAATGTATTTGTGATGTATAATTCATACTCTGCACAGAGAGCTAAAAGTTGTTCCCCATTATAGTTACAATCTGAACTGGTGTCACCGTGTGGTCCAAGGTAGTTTTCCCATGGTGTTCTTCTTGGGCCTACGTGTCCATTGAAGTCTCCCATTATGATTAGTTCTTCCTCATCAGGTACGATGTCTATGGTGTCCGCCAACTTCTGAAAAACATTCTTCTTTATCTTCCCTCGAGTATGTGTCATTGCTAGGGGCATAAACTTGGATGATAGATTCCCTTTTTTTGCACTTTCTGTAGTCTGATTTTCAAGATCCTTTCTGATATTAATTCTTTCTCTATAACTCTTTCTGCTGTG